CAAACCTTCTCCCCAGGCCGCAACACCAGATCTCCCCTCCGTTTCCTGTTGAATGCCTTCCTGTAGTCTTCCTGGGCTCGACTGATGGCCTCTTGAAGCTTCTTATTGTTCGCGGAGAAAAACGTTACCACATCTTGTGTTGCTGGTACTGGGCATTCCGAGACCAAATCCGGGAGAAAGACTGGGTGAAAGCCATAGTTGGCAAAGAACGGGGACTGTCCCGTCGCTGAGTGGCGGGCGTTGTTGTACGCAAATTCCGCTAGGGGTAGAAGTGGCATCCAGTCATCTTGAGTAAACGAAGTGTAGCATCTTAAGTATTGCTCCAGGGTCTGATTGGTCCTTTCGGTTTGAGGGTGGAACGCAGAGGAGAGGGACAATTTGATGTCCAGGGCTTTGCACAGTGCTCTCCCAAAATCTGGACGTGAACTGGACCCCCCGGTCCGAGACAATGTCTTCGGGAACCCCATACAGCCATACCACCTCACGAATGAAGACTCGCGCAGTCTCGGCCGCCGAGGGGGTTTTCTTCAACGGGATGAAGTGGGCCATCTTGGACAAGTGGTCCACGACCACCAGGATTGCCGTGTGGTCTAGTGATGGCGGAAGCTCGACTATAAAGTCTAACAAGATCTTTTGCCAAGGCCGTTCAGGAATCGGTAAGGGTCGCAGCAGACCCCAAACTTTGTTTCTTGCTGGCTTGTTCTTCTGGCAGGTGATACAGGACCTTACATAGCCCTTACAATCTTTAGCCATGTCCGGCCACCAGAAGGAGCGTCGGAGAAGTTCCAGGGTCTTTTCTAGGCCAAAGTGCCCCACCATCGGGTGGTGATGGCAATGCCCCAAGACCAGGGTTCGGGCTTCCTCCGGCACCACAATTCGATCTTCCCTCCATAGGAGTCCCCCCTTGTTCTGGAGCGGCCCTCCGCCTGGGGTAGAGATGGTTGTGGATGCCTCCATTATCTTGGAACGAAGGTCCGACTGAAGGGCCAAGAAGTTACCCGAGGACAGGATGGTGTCGGGTACTGGGATCTCCTTGGCGTCCTCGTACATTCGTGATAACGCATCTGGCTTAGTGTTCTTTGATCCAGGCCGATACGTAATGTGGAAGTTGAATCTTGAAAAGAATAGTGCCCATCTTGCCTGTCGCAGGCGTAGACGCTTGGCGGTTCTCAGATATTCCAGGTTTTTGTGGTCAGTAAATATTAAGATGGGGTGCACCGCACCTTCCAGCAGGTACCTCCATTCCTCTAACGCCGTTTTGATCGCCAGTAGCTCTCGATCACCGATATCATAATTCTTCTCCGCTGGGGTAAGCTTCCGTGAGAAGAATGCTACAGGATGGAGCAGTTCCTTGGTGCCTTTCCCGCTGGGAGAGGATGGAACCTACCGCATTCTCCGATGCATCCACCTCCAAGATATAGGGCAGGGCGGCGTCTGGGTGACCCAAAATGGCTGCCGAGGTGAACAGCTTCTTCAAGGCTTCAAAAGCTTCCTGCGCCTCTGGTGTCCATCTGAACCGGGTTCCCAGCTTGGATAGCTGAGTAATGGGGGAGACCAGACCCGAGAAGTTCTTGATGAACTTCCGGTAAAAATTTGCAAAACCGATAAATCGTTGGACGCCTTTCCTGTCCGTGGGTTCAGGCCAATCCAGTATTGCAGCGACTTTCTGAGGATCCATCGCGACCCACCGCGGTGGAGATAATCAGGCCCAAGAAAGTAATGCTGGATTGTTCGAAACAACATTTCTCTGCCTTGGCGTACAACCCATGCTGCTGCAATCGCCCCAATACCCTTGCTACATGTATTCTGTGTTCCCCCAAAGAAGGGGAGAAAATCAGAATGTCGTCTAAATAAACGATAACAAAGACATCCAGAAAGTCCCTAAAAATATCATTCACAAAGTGTTGTAAAGTGGCCGGAGCATTACACAACCCGAACAGCATGACCAAATATTCAAAATGGCCGAAGCGGGTGCGGAAGGCCGTCTTCCACTCGTCCCCCTCCCTTATGCGAATCAAGTTGTACGCTCCCCTCAAATCCAGCTTTGTAAAAACCACTGCTGTTTTTAAACTTTGGAATAACTCCAGTACTAACGGCAGTGGGTAACGGTTCTTTATCGTGACCCTGTTCAATTCCCTGTAATCGATACACGGCCTTAAGGTTTTGTCCTTCTTTTCAACAAAGAAAATTCCCGCCGGTGAAGTGGAGGGGCGGATGAACCCCTTCTGGAGGCTGTCCTCGATATATTCCTTCAGGGCCCCCAATTTGAGCTCTGAAAGGGGGAAGATTCGCCCAAAAGGAATTTCTGAACCGGGTAACAGGTCAACGGGACAGTCATAAGGGCGGTGGGGGGGTAGAGTATCGGCTCCCCGTTTGCTGAACACATCTAGAAACTCATGGTAGGCTGCAGGGATTACTTGTTTTAATTCGGCTTCCCCCAGGAGGATTTGTGGGACCCCCGGGCCCGAAGTGCGGCAGTATACCCAACAGTATGGGGAAGGGAACGAGATTACTCCGGTCTCCCAGTCAATTTGGGGGTTATGGGCCCGTAACCATGGGAGCCCCAGAATGACTGGGAAGAGGGGTGAAGCTATAGCATCCAGGCGGAGGAGTTCCTGGTGCTGGCCGGCAATGACAGTGGCGATGGAGGGGGTTTCCTGGTTCACTACCCCCCGATTTTATTCGGGAACCGTCGGCCAAATAAATATTGAACCCCTTCTGTTTCAATTGGAGAGGAATACCCTGCTGGTGAGCAAAATTAATGTCCAAGAAGCAGCTGCATGCCCCCAAATCAACTATGGCCGATACTTCTACGGTCCTTTCTGGAAGCTGAAAGGAAAGGGGCACCACTAAGTATTGGGATGGACCAACATTTGCCAATGGATAAGGAAGAAGAGGTGCACTTACTCAGTTTCTGCGGGCAGGATCGTACCATATGACCAGCTTCACCACAGTAGAGGCACAGGTTCTGGGATTGTCTGCGGTGATGTTCCTCTGGAGATAGTTTAGGCCGTGTCAGGCCGAGTTGCATGGGTTCAGGGATATCTCCAGGTGGTCGGTTCTGGATGTTTGGCCTAGGTGCTTGACTGGGACCTTGAAATGACCCCCAGGGATTTCCATGACCCTGGCCGGACCTCTCAAACCTGCGTTCCCGCAGTCTACGGTCAATTTTAATGGTCAGTGCTATTAAGTCCTCTAAAGTCTCAGGCACCTCCACCCGGGCGAGCTCATCTTTCAGGCCTTCTGATAGGCCTATATGGAACTGATGCAGGAGTGCGAACTCGTTCCAGCGTGTGTCCCCCATCCAGCGCCTAAACTCAGACGCGTACTCCTCCGCCGCTCGGCGGCCTTGCCGGAGCGTGTACAAAGTAGCTTCAGCAGAAGCTGCCCGCTGTGGGTCATCATATAGGATGGCCATTGCGTCAAAAAAATTGTCAACCGAACTAAGGTGAGGGTCATTTTTTTCCCCCGCAGTCGGTGGGCCCAGTCTTGGGGTTCACCCTGCAGGAGGGAGATGACGAACCCCACCTTCACGGATTCAGTCACGAAGGTCCGGGGTTGCAACTCAAAATAGAGAAGACAGGACTCACGGAATGACCTGAAGCGTGTGCGGTCCCCGTGAAAACGTTCCGGTAAGGGTACTCGGGGTTTCGGCCGCCGCCGGGAGTGGTGCGGACGCCCCAGAAACCGGCACAGGGGCTGCTACGGCCGGGGGTGCGGGGACCGCTGCCTGTGGGGCAGGAACGGATATAGTGCAGGTCTGGAATTGGTTTTCAATCTGCTGACATCTATCCTGCAGGGCCGATACGGCCTGTGTCAAATTAGACAGGTGCCTGCAGATCTCCTCAAGTGGCGAGGGCCCTCCTCTAGACTCAGTTTCATGGCCTTCTGGTACTGTAAGGGACCGCGCGGCGGTACCACTAGCACTCCACTGAATAGGCGTCCCCAGCGCACGGAATCTAAGTCCCAGGGTGCTTGTTCACCAGGGCCCCTGATGGTGGGGATGGACTTGGAGCCCCCCGAGACCAGGCCGTGGCTACTGGGTGCGTCCGTCAGTGGTAGTGGTATGCGCCAAGGGCTCCCACGGGGAAGAGTCTGATATGAGGAGGTCAGAAGACCCAACTGCAAGGGATGGATGGATGGATGAGCAAGGTCAGACGGGCCGGGTCGGTAACAGAGAGGACGGCAAGGTACAAGGCAGCGGGCATAGAATGGTCGGGTCACACGCCAGGTCAGCAACAGTAGGTCAAATCCAATAAGGGGCATTCAGGAGAGAGGTCAGGCAAAGCAAGGGTCAGAATAGGAGAAAGCAGCAAGGTGTCAGGAATGGACTCAGCACTGGTGGTGGGACTCACCTGCTGTGTGGGCTGCAGTACCAGAGCTGACCAGCGGGTGCTCTCAGCAATGGACTCAGCACTGGTGGTGGGACTCACCTGCCGTGTGGGCTGCAGTACCAGAGCTGACCAGCGGGTGCTCTCAGCAATGGACTCAGCACTGGTGGTGGGACTCACCTGCCGTGTGGGCTGCAGTACCAGAGCTGACCAGCGGTGCTCTCAGCAATGGACTCAGCACTGGTGGTGGGACTCACCTGCCGTGTGGGCTGCAGTACCAGAGCTGACCAGCGGGTGCACTTAGCAGCCAGAAGCTCACAATCAGCCAAACCTGGGGCTGATTGCAGAAAGGTGTATTTAAGCCATGACCAGGCCTGTGCTCTGGCCTTGGTGTGATGTCAGGAATGACCAGAAAGGTGTGGACTGACAGAGGGAAACGCAGGTACGGCTGGATCCGTGCAGGATGGATGGATGGCAGAGTAGTTAGCGTGGTCAGACGGGCCAAGTCAGCAACGTGGGGGCAGCAAGGTACCAAAAAGAGCAGGCAGAGAATGGTCAAGGTCACAAGCCGGGTTCAGTAGCTCACGGACAGCGCGGTACAGGGGATCAGGCAGAAGGATGGTCAGGCAAGCCAGGGGTTCAACAGGAGACGGTCAGCAGAGGTCAGAATCAAGCCGGGTCAGCAACGAAGCAGGAACACAGGATACCAGGTACAGAGGCTCATGGGAAAACATACACCAAGGCCCAGAGCACAGGCCTGGTCATGGCTTAAATACACCTTTCTGCAATCAGCCCCAGGTTTGGCTGATTGTGAGCTTCTGGCTACTAAGAGCACCCGCTGGTCAGCTCTGGTACTGCAGCCCACACGGCAGGTGAGTCCCACCACCAGTGCTGAGTCCATTGCTGAGAGCACCCGCTGGTCAGCTCTGGTACTGCAGCCCACATGGCAGGTGAGTCCCACCACCAGTGCTGAGTCCATTGCTGAGAGCACCCGCTGGTCAGCTCTGGTACTGCAGCCCACACGGCAGGTGAGTCCCACCACCAGTGCTGAGTCCATTCCTGACACAAGGTCAGGTACAATCCGGGTCAAAAACTTACAGGCTGAGTACAGGTTAAACCGGATACAGGATGCAGGGAAGACCAGAAGGCACTGAATGACAGCTCAGGGCCATTTAAATATCCCGCCCTGCGCTGCCATTAGTGCCCAGCGGGCGGCCGCGGCTTCTACTGCGCATGCGCGAACTCGAACGCCGCGGCCGGCCCGGACCTAGTGCCCGTGTCCCTGCACAGAGCGGTGCACTGCGCCTGCGCCGGAACCATCGCGGCGGGGATCAAGGAGATCCCTGACAGGTACTATGGGTCCACAGTGCTGTGATCAAAGACACCCAGAGCAGCCAGCATCTCTTCCCGCTGCCTTCCACCTGTCACAACAAACTGTAAATTACATAGGTGAGGGAAGCTTTCTCCAGACTCCTCCTCAACTCTGACATATCTTATGACAGACTACAAGGAGAAGCCTGGGAGGAAGGATATCTCCTGGGCCAACACTGATCCTTGCTGTATCTGAAATCTGTACTGAGAGGGAAACTTGAGGGGGGATGAATAAGAGGATTTATGGAGGTACTTGTAGTAGAAGGGTTAGGATTTGTGCATGGAGGGGGGATTTGGAGGGGACTGGTAAGCAAATTTATTGTAACATTGGGGAGGGGAGGGTGTAAGCAGATTTGAGCTAGAAGGAGGGGTTGGGAGATGAGGATTTGTGCTGGAAGAGGGCAGTTAGGGGGTTGTTAAGAGGCTCTGTGTTAGAAGAAGACATGAATGAGGAGAGGATTTGAGCTGGGGGGACGTTGGGGGAAAAGAGGATTTGTGCTGTCGAGGGAAGAGGCAATTTTAGGGAGGAGAAGATTTGTGCTAGGGGGGAATTGGGGAAGAGCAGTATTTGTGCTAGAAGGGGGAGGGGGTATTTGTGCTGTGGTGATTTGGAGCGGAAGAGGATTTGTACTTTAAAGGTGAGGGGGAGAGGATTTGTGCTAGGAGGGGGATTTGGGGGGTGGAGGAGGATTTTTACTGGAAGGGAGATATGGCGGGAGGGGATGATTTGTGCTGGGTGGGGAAGAACAATTGATTGGGATTAAGAAGATTTGTGTTAGAAGGGGGATTTGTGCCATTATGTGATATTTGGCGGGGGGGGGGAGGTGAAAAAGGATTTGTGGTGGGGGGGAAAGGATTTGTACTGGGAGGGTGGATTGAGGGGATATGTGTGCTGACATCTTTTTGTATTGTCCCCTAACCCCTACTGTGCATTATACACCTCTGACCCCTGCTCCCTGTGTTACAGTATATATTCCTAAACTATGGTCAATGACCCACTAGCTGGCACTCAAAGGCTATAGCAATATAAGTTTAACTACGACAGATGCATCTACTAATTAACAAGAGGTAAATGGGTCCTTGTGCATATGCTATGAATGAATAGGGTACCCCTGGACGTGTCTGGAAGTACCTGGTGCCTGATATTCAACATTGGTCTGCTTTCGGTGGAGTCCTTCTTTAGATGGTGACTTTACCATTAAGAGTGTCAGTAGATAACGGAGGCTAAGCTGCAAAGTAGCTCAGTCTCTGTTGGGCTAATGGAGTGTGGGGGCATTTAGTTCAGCTCGCCACTTCTTCACACAGGCCAGTTTCTCATCTCAGAACCTGAAGGTGCAGCAACTCTCTCTCGCCACTCGGTCTCTGAAAGCAGCTCTAACAGACTCAGGCGCAGGTCTGTTCTCTGTCCCTGATGTGGAGGAACAGGCACAACAACAGGTCCTCTTAGCCCCTCGTAATGTCTCCTCCCTGCAATGTGAATCAGCAAGGGAAATGCCACCAACACACCGAGGATCATCAATATAGGTCCAAAAGTTTTAATGAACGATCACATAGTTACAGCAAGGCAACGTTTCGGAGTCTCGCAGGACCCCTTCATCAGGCATGTGACAAATTGTGACAGAAACTAGAGAACTATTTAAGAAAACTATCCACCAATCACAGTGAAGTAAAATGAGCCTGGTCCAACCCCATGATGTCATGTTCCCTCCAAAAATGCATTCAGATCAATGTAAACAGAAACATTATAAACAGCGAAAATAAATAAACCATAAAACAATAATCAGATGTGCATAAACTGTATTCCCGAGGATAGAAACATTGTGGTCACATGTGTATCATAGTACTCCCCAGATTGTAATAACGTGTCAGCTGAAAGCAGCGCTGTATTCTGGAAACAGCAACCAGCAGCGTATATGTCCCTGACAGAAGATAAAGACTATTGCCTAGAGGGCTGTGGAGCGACCAGATGTGCCGACTTCGCTGTCTGTAGAAGGATTCTCAGTTAGTCGCTCACTCTCAGACGAAATCTGGGGGCTTCCTTTTGTTGGCATCTGGGGCAGAGGTCGAGTACATAATCTCCTCCTGGGCCTAGAGATCCCAGTTAGCCATGGTTAAACTCTACCTTCTTGGTAATCCTGGTTTACCTGTTTAAATGTGTCCCTTTTAGACTGCTTCTGTCTTATGGTGTATGTGGCGATCTTGTTGTTAATCTCCTGCAAGGCAGAGGTCTGATTTTCTGTATTCTGTATCGGTAATTCCAACACTGCAAGTTCACGTTTCACTTGGCACAGCTGAACCTCTCTTCAATAACTAGTAACATATAGTTCAGTGAGTTCTGGGTGGAAACTTTCAGAGAAAGAAATCTTGTTTATGACGTCCAATGGTGGGCTGATTTCTAATCCGGAAACCTCTTGGAATTTTACTTGGTCTGTAGTACTCAGACAGAGTCTGGCCATGCAGCTCAAGATCAACCGGTCTTTTCTTCAAGAGTTTGATTTCCCCTAATCGGTCAGTGGCTGTATCCAATCCAAATGCTTTTTCGATGTCAGGTAGGAAGAGAATTGCATCAATCTCTTCCTGATTGTAAATGAATCCAAAATTACTTGATGGTGCAATATCTTCAGATGCCATTTGTTATAGACAATCCTCACAATTGGATCAGTCGGTGAATGTGATGTCCCGCTTTTCTACGGTGCATCTAGTACATACCCTTGTGGTGGGCAGCCAGCAAGGGTGCTGTATGGGAAGCCAGTCCAGAATGCAAGTGTACAATCCAAATGCACGTTCCTACGTTAAAAATGGCTGTGTGTATAAGTGGGTGCTGCAGCGACCATCGGCTGGAACCAAACAGAATCAGCAAGGGAGAATGTCACCACACACCGAGGATCACCAATACGGGTCCAAAAGTTTTAATGAACGATCACATAGTTACAGTAAGGCAACATTTCAGAGTCTCGCAGGACCCCTTCATAAGACATGTGACAAATTGTGACAGAAACTGGAAAACTATTTAAGAAAACCATCCACCAATCACAGTGAAGTGAAATGAGCCTGGCCCTACCCCATGATGTCATGTTCCCTCCAAAAATGCATTTAAATAAATGTAAACAGAAACATTACAAACTGCGAAAATAAATAAGCCATAAAACAATAATCAGATGTGCATAAACTGCATTCCTGGGGATTTAACATTGTGGTCACATGTGTATCATAGTACTCCCCCGGATTGTAATAAAGTGTCAGCTGAAAGCAGCGCTGTTACATAGTTACATAGTTAGTCTGGCTGGATATAGACAAAAGTCCATCCAGTTCAACCATAGAAAAAAAAAAGTTATAATCCTATACCCACAGTTGATCCAGAGGAAGGCAAAAAAAACCTAGCAAAGCATGATCCAATTTGCTCCTGCTCGAAAAAAATTATTTCCTGATCCCCCGAAAGGCAATTAGATATTCCCTGGATCAACTTTATAAATGTTAGTGTCCAGTTATATTCTGTGTATCTAAGAAAGAATCCAGGCCTTTTTTGAAGCAATCCACTGAGCTTGCCAGAACCAACTCTTGAGGGAGTCTATTCCACATTTTCACAGTGATGTGAAGAAACCTTTCCATGTTTGGAGATTACATTTCTTTTCCTCCGGATGTAAAGAGTGCCCCCTTGTCCTCTGTGATGACCTCAGGGTGAATAGCTCTACACCGAATTCACTATATGAACCACTGATGTATTTATACATGTTGATCATATCCTCCGTTAATCTCCTCTTCTCAATAGAGAATAAATTCAGTTCCTCTAATCTTTCCTCATAGCTGAGCTTCTCCATGCCTCAAATCAGTTTGGTTGCCCTTCTCTGTACTTTCTCCAGTTCCCAAATGTTCTTTTTGTGAATTGGTGTCCAAAACTGAACTGCATATTCCAGATGAGGTCTTGCTAATGATTTGTACCGGGGTAATATGATATCTCTCTCTGGAGTCTATACCTCTTTAAATACAAGAGGGGATTTTGCTCGCTTAATAATGGCATTGCATGCCATTATTAAGCTTGTGATCTACCAGAACTCCCACATCCTTCTCCGCCATTGAATCCCCCAGTTGTACCCCCCCTAGTATGTATAATGCATGCATATTCTTAGCCCCCAAGTGCATAACCTTACATTTATCAACATTAAACCTCATTTGCCACATAGTTGCCCAATAAAACAGTGCATTGAGGTCAGCTTGTAAATTGAAGACATCCTGTAAGGACGTTATTCCACTGCACAGCTTGGTGTCATCTGCAAAGACATAAATGTGATTTAACGGCCAGCAGCATATATGTCCCTGACAGAAGATAAAGACTGTTGCCTAGAGATGTGGGGGGGGGGGGTGTCTCCGACTGTCAAGTGAGCTGCAATAGGGACACATCTACAGTGGTCCTATTGGTGCAGCGGCCAACAGTGTCATGGCGACGCATGTCACCTGCATGCACCATGCGAGTTTACTACTCACGCATGCGCTCAAAGTCATTCCTGCACCGGCCGGCGGCGGCACACAAGCCAATGGGTGGGCAGGGTTGCAGAAATGAGCTGTGAAGAAAAAGAAGAACAGAAAGGAAGCAGATTGAGGGCCAGTTCACACCACATGCGTTCAGTTACTTTTTCAGTTACTTTGGATTGTACACTTGCTCCCTGCAATGTGAGACGTAGACCCTGACAGCAGCTCCATACTTGTCACACTCCTCCCTAGACTGCCCCTGATCTGGAAAAATTTGCCCAGGAAAAGGACAGATAGTAGGAACCAATTCTGTCTCTGTCTCAGTATC